TCAACTCCAGAAGTTCAACTCTACTTGAAGACTTGTGGACTTCAACTCCACAAGTTCAACTCCATTTTAAGATTTATGGACTTCAACTTCACAAGTTCAACTCCATTTTAAGTTTTGTGGACTTCAACTTCACAAGTTCAACTCCACTTTAAGACTTGTGGACTTCAACTCCACAAATTCAACTCCACTTTAAGACTTGTGAACTTCAACTCCAGAAGTTCAACTCTACTTGAAGACTTGTGGACTTCAACTCCACAAGTTCAACTCCATTTTAAGATTTATGGACTTCAACTCCACAAGTTCAACTCCACTTTAAGACTTGTGGACTTCAACTCCACAAATTCAACTCCACTTTAAGACCTGTGGACTTCAACTCCACAAATTCAACTGCATTTTAAGATTTATGGACTTCAACTTCACAAGTTCAACTCCACTTTAAGACTTGTGGACTTCAACTCCACAAATTCAACTCCACTTTAAGACTTGTGAACTTCAACTCCAGAAGTTCAACTCTACTTGAAGACTTGTGGACTTCAACTTCCAGAATTCCCCATCCAGGAAGTTGAAGTCCATAGGTCTTCAAGGGGTCAAGGTTGGACAACCCAGGTCTACAGGGAAAGTGGGGCCAGGAAAATACCCTTCCTTGCATCCCAAACATAGAACCAACCCAAAGGAAGGTCTATCCAGCCCTAAAGAAGAGAAGGTTGAAGGTATCACAGAGCGCTCTTCCAATTCTTGAAGGACCATCCCAGGGAAGAAGATATGGATTTATCCTCCATAATGCCCGAGGGTGAGACAAGGACCAAGGACTGGAAGCTTTAAAAAAAAAGAGGTCCAAACTCAAAATAAGGAGGAATCTCCTAGAGCTACAAAGCAGTGGAGCAACCTTGCTACTGAAGTTGTGGTGGTCCATCAAGAACTGGACAGGATGGTCTGAGGGTTCCTTCCCTGGACAGGGGTTGGACTAGAAGACCTCTAAGGCCTCCCAGCTGCCCATTCCAACGTCATCACCACTCACCGGTAGAGATGGTTGATCAGCGCCTTCAGGGTGGCTTTGTTGACAACTGGGAGGCTGTTGAGAAGCCTACGGTATCGGCTGATCCTTTCGGTGGGGTCCTCCACAGCTGTGAAGAGGAGCACAAGGCAGGGAACAAGGGACAGTCATGAACATCCTCATCCTCATTTAATGACTCCGTAATCCCTCACGGTGTGGAGTCTGGGCCATTGAATGGAGCTAGCAGAGTGTTTTTACTGGCCAGATGACTTTCCTGTCACCAGAGCGGAGTTTTGTTCAGCCAGATATATTCTCATTGTGCTCAGAGAGAGAAACATCTGCCTCTATCTAGGATCGAACCCACTGCCTCCTGATTGTGAGGCGAGAGCTCCACCTCCAGGCCACCGCAGCACTCAAGGCCCAACATTTCCGTTGCTAAACAAGACAAGTTAGAAGAATTTCACCCTGTTTTTTACTGATTTTTTTTTTGCCGCAGCTGTTAAGGGAATCACTGCAGTTGTTGTGAGTAACACGGTTGTTAAGTGAATCTGGCTTCCCCACTGACCCCAAAAGGGGATCACATGACTGCCACCGTCGTAAGTACATGCCAGCTGCCAAACATTTGAATTTTGATCACGCAAACTGTGGAGATGCGGCAACCGTCATGAGGATGAAAAAGGGGACCAAGTCACTTTTTTCAGCAACGTGGCAACTTTCAACGGTCACTAAATGAACTGCCGTAAGCCAAGGACTGCCTGCACCTCACTTTTTTTTTTTCTTGGAAAGCCTGCCTTTTTCAGCTCTATGGGACATTTCAGGTAATCCTTGACTTACAACCACCCAACGTCTGTTGCTAAGAAAGGCAGTCGCTAAGGGAGTCATGCCAGATTTCGTATCGCCGTTGTTAAGCGAATCGCTGCAAGTGAATAAGGAACTCCTGCCGTCCAATCTGGCTCCCTCCACGGTTGTTGGAAGCCGGCTGGCGAGGCCGCGAACGGCGCTCGTGTAACCCCGAGGACATGGCCGCCGTTGTAAATACAGGCTGGTTGCCGAGAGCCTCAATTCTGATCCGGTGACCCTGGGAAGGCTGCAACGTGCCGGAGCGTTCACAGTGTGACTATTATTATGAGACAACCCGGGAACAAAACACAGCACCCATGCGATACCAGACACAAGAAGAGGACATGCCCTCAAATGGCTGCCTTTATA